TGGCTGGCATTGCAAACGGGTTGGATGAACTGCACCCTTAAAGTGCATTTTCTCTCCGTTGCTTATAAAGGGACATGAAGTGACAAGCTGAGATGGCCACGTCAGCCCTAGGCTGGATGCACACCCTGGTCTATACCCGCATCTATACCAAAGATGTCTAAAATTAACTGAGATCAATTCCCTCTCAAATAACAATTTGCTTTCTGTGAGCAGAGCTGCATAAAAAATTACCTATGGGTGTTAATCCCACATACACCTAAACATTTCAGGCTTGTTTATGAGAGACATGGAGGAGACTGCCTGGTGGCCTGATCCTGCAGCGTGCTGGGCTCACCGCTGCCTGCTAAGGGCCCCTAGGTTTTCCATGAGGTGTGGATAAAATATAGCATCGGAGAAGCTGTAGGTTAGTGTCTAAGTACATCGGCTTGATCCCAGCTGTGCCAAATACTGAACTATTTAATGTCCTTTTTTCTTTGTCTTTTATTTCACTGTAAAAAGAAATATGTCTCCTGTGAAAGCACCTGGAGTGAAATCCAAATGCTGTTGAAATTGTCAGGATTTTATTCGCAAACTTAATTATTTAATGACTAACCCTGCCCTGTCAGCTTAAAGTTAACTTACTTATGCCTGTACTTCTCCTGTACTCTGCATTCACCAAAAGAAATACACCTCAGGCCATCTTTTCTTTTTTTTTTTTAGAAAATCTGAGGAGATATTCCAGCCTTTGTTCTGCTTCTTATTGAACAAATGAGCACTCATAGAGATGCAAGTTTTACAAAGGAACTGCAAAAACTGGTACTGCTGTTGGACATATGGGCGATATTAAGTTTTGTCTTTAAAACCAAGTTAATAAAAAGTTCTCTCCCTGTAGGACAGGAGAAATGTTTTAAGTGCTGTTCATGGAAGAAAATGTGCATCAATCCAGTGTTCTGCTGCTTCAAGTAACACAGCATGTTGCTCTTCTTGCACAGATTACCACAAAGGGAGAGAGCAGGTTGGGAAAACATTTTGTGCGATTTGTCAGGACAAAAACAAGTAATACAAAGAAATAGCTTCAATCCATATTTAAAAAATTTAGAGTGGTGAGGTAAAATGTTTCATTTTGATACCACCATTTTACACATTCGAAAACTATTGCTGAAGTTTACTGTGATAAAGGCATTCTAACACCCATATCAGAAGATTTTGGTTTGAAATGTATGCTTTTGGAAAAAAGATATTTCAACAATTTCAAAGCTTTTTTTTTCAGCAGTGAACAGTTTGAAACAGTATTTCCAAGCAAATGGGTATGAGTTTGGCAAAATCAGTTTCTTCTAACTCCTGTGAAATTACAGAAATTCCAGTTACTTCTAGCTGGAAATTGAGATGTCAGCTTAATGCTCTAGAAGAAGCAACTTGTTTTGCTTCACTGGAAAACTAGGATTATTTTTTCTGTATCAGTAATCCTTTATCTCCTCTTTTTGTTCAAGGCTCAGTTCGAAAAAAAATTAGAACAGAAAAATCATTGCTGTTGCATGTAACTACATTGCCTCCCTCCTCATGACTTTATCGTTCAATTAATTCTGGTTTGTTCTTTCCTCTCATGGTGTTTCCCAACCCTGTTTTCTCTCTTTTTGCTCTTCCCCTGCCTCCAGAGGGAGGCTGGATCAGAGATGACCTCCAGAAGGCCCCTCCAACCAGCACTTCTGTGGTCTCTGCTCTCACTCCTGCCCAAGGCAGCAGAAAATTGTGGTTTGAAACCTTATGTTAAATGTTGCTCATTGATTAGAGTGATGAGGCAAGGGATGATTATTCCTTTGATGAGTATAGTGGCTTTAAGACTTTATTGAAAAGGTTGTAGGTGTATATAATCAAGGTGGTCTTTGAAGAAACCACAGAGTTTAAGTGTTTCAAAAACCAGCAGTGGTTCAAAACCATCCCTTCCCCTTTCCTTACTCCTGAATTATTGATTCATATTCTCTCTCTCTCCAGTAATGAAATATTCATTGGTTCAAAGTAATACACATCAATAGAGTTTCACCTCAGGGTATCCTCCAGCTTTCGATGGTTTGAGCATCCGCCAAGCAGGTGGTAAAACGGGGTTTCAGCTTCCCTCCGGAGGAGGAGGGTGCAGGGGCTGCCCTCCCTCCTACCCATCTCAGTGCTCTCTAGAGGAAAGGGAGGGAGAAGGGAAGGCACCTCAGCTGTCTCCTCATTTCCCTCTTCTCACCACCATTTTGCCATCCCTTTCCAATGCATTAGGAGAGTGCTTTGGAGGTGCATCCTGCAGGTGAGGCAACAGATGAGCCGGTGTCCTGATGGTCTCCAGGACGCTGGGTGTGGAGCTGCCTGCTGGGTGTAAGCAATCTGGGCAGGCCCAGAAGCACACTTCCAGCATATGCCCACGTCAGCTTTTTAGTTTGCATTGGGAGTGCATTTTTTAACCTGTGGATGGCCCCCACTTCACTGGCTCATGTAATGGAGAAAGCCACAGGGGAATAGCCTTCGCTTCAGCTGATGCTTGACCCGAAGGTGCTCTCCAGGGGTGCCCCTCATGCACCCCACGCCATGCAGTTGCCAGCCAGTGCTCAGGCTGAGGGACCATGGGGGGGTTTACTCGGCTGAAGCAGACCGCCCCCCCCAAATGCACAGTGTGTATATCAGCTCCATCTTCGTCATGCTACAGGTCTGTTCCCACTACACGGCATTACCTACTAATATAGCTATAGCCTTAAATACTTTGGGAGCTTTAAAGACAACTTGAAACTCTCATTCCCTTGAAAGCCTTTGAGTGAGGTGACTGCAGAGGCTTTTAAGCAAGGTTTAAACTTCACAGCTTCTTTGTGCTGGCAACCTCAGCTCCTCTCCCCCAGCAGTATATTTTAAGTGCTCTTTGTGCTGAGTTTCTGAATCCCTGCGAAGGGCTCAGCATGCACTCCTCTGAGCGTGTGCCCCTGAGTACAACATGCATGCGCGTGCCAAAGCAGATGCAGCCAGCTGTGCATGCGTGCCAATTAGCCAGATTTCTCAATAACCTTTAATTATAGAAACGTTCTCCCACACAACATCCTCATGCCCTCTGCAGGTTTCAGAAATCTCTCTTGTCTTTTCGATCCTACCAAGTATCAGACCAACTTTTCTCACTCCTTCGCTCTTCCACTGCCTGCTCCAGAGGGTGTTTCTTACCCCATCTTTTCAAAGGACCAGACTCTCTCACTCTGACCCAACTGCACACCTTTAGAGGATCTGTCACGCAGACACAGGTTACTTTACATAGGGCCACCAAGTAAATAATGTGCCTTGTGCAGGTGATCAGACAGCATGCAGGAAAAATAACCCTCATTTTTAAAAAGGGAAAAAAGGGAGACCCGGGGAAGGGCCAGGCAGCCTCACTTCTGTGCCTGGCAAGATCATGGAACATATCCTCCTGGAAGCTATGCTAGGGCACACGGAGGACAGGAAGGTGATTCGAGACAGCCAGCATGGCTTCACCAAGGGCAAGTCCTGCCTGACTAACCTAGTGGCCTTCTGTGATGGAGTGACTACATCAATGGACACGGGAAGGGCTACAGGTGTCGTCTATCTGGACCTCTGTAAGGCCTTTGACACGGGCCGCCACACAATCCTTCTCTCTAAACTGGAGAGC